GGCTTGTCCCAACCTTGACCACGACGACGACGAAAGAGACTGCGCATGTCTGCCGAAACACGAGGGCTGGGTGCTTGCGTGGCTCGACTTGCGACATGGCGACCTGCTACTGTTTCAATATGTCGTGGCAGCTCGAGACTCGAATTGAACACCCGGAGCTCGCGCGCATCCATGACGAAAAAAATATCGACGAGGGTGGCAACATCACCCGCTATCCCCGCCGCTTCCCCGGCCAAGATTTGCTGCGCACCCAGCGTCGGGCCTACAACACTGACCTTCTTCAGCTCAAGAGCCCTGTGCCGAAGGATCTCAAGCTCTTGTTCCAGTCGAGCCATCTCGCCCGTCGCCGCCCCGCCGCCGCCGCCGCCGCCGCCGCCATCGCTGCCTCTGGAGGAGGCGGTTGTTGAGGCCGGCTGGCGGGGGGGGAGTGCCGGCTTGGCAGGTACCATTGGCTCCTGAAACATGCCGCGGCGGAGTTCGATCGGCAGGAGGGGAGATGCGGGAAACATTACAAAGTCATGCACGCAGCAAAACGTGGGTGGGGGGGGGGGTGTTTACGCAATTTCGTGCTCATAAAACCATCGCCGACCACAAGATTAATGAAAAAAACGCACTACGTTCCGTTTGTAGATTTGGTTATGTAGGAATCTCGCTTTCACAGACGATGGCAGCCAGAATCTACATTACAGTTTCCCGCCTGCGCAATCTACCCCACCGCATTCTTAGGGTCTGAAAAATCTTCCATGACGACTCCAGGACACTATCACACGGCGTGTGCGCGACTACCACTTGGTGGGGGGAGAGATAAGGGGCTCTTGATTGCTGGAGGAACGGGGGGGAATGACCGGTGCACATCAACCATAAAATATCGCGACGCCGAAAAAAAAAAAAAACAAATAAAAAAAAAACGCCTCAACAACGACGACGAACGCCTTACCTCTTCGAGTTCCCCCAGTGCCAGCATGTCCTCCTCTTCGACCTCGCTTTCACTCTCCCGGTCCGGTTCCACCGCTTCGTCGTCATCGTCGTCCTCGTACTCGCCCCCCGTTTCCCCCTCGGCGGTGTTGGTGGGGGCGGCGGCATCGAACTCCGCCCCCCCCGAGACCTCCCCGAGCTCACCCAGAAGATCCGCATCTTGAAGATCGTCCTCGGTTAGCTGCGGTTTACCCGCCAGGATGGTAACGATACAAGCAGTAGCAGCAGCAGCAAGCAGCGGAGGCATCACAAGGATGCACTGTATATAGTCAATGCCCGTACCATGACAGGCCACAACGCAGACAGTAGTGGCCGCAAGCGGGACGCTTCCATAGCTCGCATGTCTTTTTTCTTTCCTTCCTGTTTCCTTTTAGTTTTCTATATTTTCTCTTTTTCTCTCTTATTTCTCTCTTTTTCTGTGTCAGATGGCCTTGGCTCTTCTTACGCTGTCAAGTACCAAGATTGAACCAAGGGGGTGTAACTCTTTCTCTCTGGCCCGTGATGCCGACTCCTAGTCTCAGTTGTTACCTCGCATTGCGCGCAGAGGGAGCGGAGGACTCCAGGATATCTGTCATTGATTTCTATTGACTTGCGGACCCCTCGAGGCCAGTTATTTTCGTGTACCTTTTTAGGGTAAGTTAGGCTGTGACCACGGGAATCGACCGCGTCAAGTGTTGGATCAGTACGGACATATGAAGGTACTGGGTAGAGAGAGATCGGAACGGTTCTTAATGTGAAGACAACAACAACAACAACAACAATGTCTCGGACCGCCAAAAATTTACCCGACCACCTTCAACGTGCACGCAAAAATTCGGAATCAAGGAGGTGCTGTTAATCCTACTTCCACATCACCTCCTGATCGCCGAGAGAGTTCAAGCTCAGCCCCAGCGACCTCAGCAAATCGTTCCCACTCGCCTCCCGCCGGGGTGCGGCGGAAGGTCCTAAGCCTCCGTCGCCGCCTGGAGCGGCATCGGGGCGGGGACGATGTCCGGCCGGTGGCCTTGCCACCGTCGCACCGCCACCGGCGGCGGCGCCGGCGGAGTCGTCGCCGCCCCAGCCTAGCTCGGCGAGCTCGGCCATGAGGGAAGGGTCGTTCTCGTCAAAGGCGACGGTGTCGACACCGCTCATCTGAGACACGTGTGAAAGGTGGATGGCAGGGACCGGTGCAAACGGGAAAAGAGCCGTACGATCCAGTTAGATTCTAAGGGTTGGGGGGTTCGTTGGCGCTGCTGTGAGGCACGCACAGGCACCGAGCTTACACAGAGACGGAGTGAGCGAAAGAGAAAAAAAACAAAACACATGTGCAGCAGTAGCAAAAACCTTTCGCCGATTCACATAGAAAATGGGGGTGAGGCGGTAGATGATGCGGTTGGTTCAACTTCGAAGTACACACGGAAGCGGTCGACGGGACCTTCAATCTTCTTGTGCTGTTTCCTACGTGCAGCTTGAACACGTGGATCCGTTGTCAGCGAGAGAACAAGAGAGCTAGCGAGAGAAACAGAGACAGGCATACATACCGAGGGAGAGAAAGCGAGAGAAAGAAAGAGAGAGAGAGAAAGAGAGAGAGAGAGAGAGAGAGAGGTGACCTATACTACTTACTGCTGTCAGCCAACTGGAAGCGAGGAAGAGATGGATGGAGGCAGAGCGTGGACACACGCACGTTCGTGTAAAGTGGCGTAGTTGTGCTTCACGCGAGACACAGAGCGGGCGGCATACATTGGCACACCATACCAATGCTGCCCCATGAGCACTGCTCTTGCACGAAACTCTACTATTTGCATTTTTGTGAACGTCTGAACGACGAGCCAGGTTTCGTTGTTTGGACCGCACGGGAATCACCGTTCAAACCAGACGCACTAGCCTACCCCAGGTATACCTTTTTTAGGCGCAAAAAAAGGTATACCCTCCATACTCTGAAATGTGAATACGCCACAACACCAACATTTTTCCATTCTGTCGCCGCATCTGCACTTTTGATTGACGAGCCAGGCAGGGAGGGCTATGCAGAAGAAATTCTCCATTTTTCCTCCCGCGGTGCGTTCCTTCGTTTTTTTCAACACGTGATCAGGGTTGTGAATGTCGGGCAAACTCGCAAGCCGCGAACACATCAAAGGTTATCTCGTGGGGAAAATCCGGGAGACGGTGCGGTGACGGCTCTGGACTACACTACGGGCCATCCGCATAACAACGGATTTTTATTTTTCCAAGTCGAGTCCCGTTGACATGGTTGCCGCGAACGATGCCCGCATCTTGATCTGCAGCAACGAAGACCAAGACGGTAGCTTCCAGACCTCCCGGATTTTCCCCAAGAGAAAATCTTCTACATATCATTGTACGTGTTCGCGGCTTGCGAGTTTGCCGGGCATGGTGTCCCTATATAGTGCTGGTACATGCGACGCGATCACATCCGCACTAAACCGGGACACCCGCACAATGTCGAAGTATTCAAAAGTATGCATATGTACTTGTTGATTATTCGATCGATGGCATACAACTTCGCGTGCACAATACAGGACACCCGCCCTGTATAACCCGCCAACCCGCCATAAAAGGGACCTCTAGGCTACTGCTGTAATGTTGAACAAGGAGCAGGACACGTGTGTTTCGGTTTTCGAACTGTTTGCCGCACAGAACACAGATTCTACAACAAGTTCGAATTATTAGGGCTTGTACAACGAAGACATGGATAGAGCGTGAAATGAGCGGACCTCCTATGTGTATAGCAGACGAAATACATTCCTGCGAGCTTGGTCACCTTGGCCATGTTCTCTTCGCTGAATGCGTCCGGAGAGCTGAAGTCGATTGCGGGCTCAGGCACACCAGGCTGCTGCCTCTTTTTGCCTCCCTTCTTGCCCTTGCCAAAGAAATTCATCGTGCTCCGATGGCCACCCAGAGGCCAGGCTTTGCAATGCAATGGTGGGTAGCCTGCTTTTCTGCAACCCAGTTCAAGCGCTCAGCCGAACCTACTACAACAACACCGCCCAGCACCCAGCACCGCAGCTGGGCACAGAATGAGACGCGGTGGAACTCACGGGCACATCTCCCAAAAACATCCAAAATACGATGGGTGCAAATCCCGTCTGTGCCGTTTCGGTGTAACGGCTTTCGGCAAGTGGGTGCGTGTGTACGCAACTCTGTCTTCTCTCTCCCTTTTCTTTCTTGGAATGTTGCAAGGGCAATCAATATTGTGGCATATTGTGTACCATGTACCATTCCGTAGTGCGGGATAACTCGTGTTGTCATGACTGTGTTCGTTGAGAGTTTTTCCAGGTCTCGGCTTGGTCTCGGCGATAGAACAACAACAAGATTGGATCGGCGTGCGGGCTGCGACATGTCCATAGGGTCCGAAGTCAAGAGACATGCAGGTGTTGTTCCTTCTTCTGCTTCTCGCGGCAGCGTCAGCCGGTAAGCATGTTCGAAGCAAGTACACAGGATTCCAAGATTTTTAGGTACATGCGGAGAACAACGACATGTGCAAGGTCTGTACAAAAGTCTACAGCCCATAGTTTACACATGCGGTCCGAGAGAGGAAGATAGATACACATGCCCTGTCTGTGCGTGTCGGGGTTAGTGTTGTGGAAGACTACAGCAGAAAATGAAGCTATGGAGTGGGAGGTGCCCAGTCTTCTTAAGCTTACTTTAGGTGGTTGACTTGTATGGAAAAATATCCTTTATTCCTGTGCAAGGCCAGCCAAACTCTGGAAAACTGGTGTGTAGCTAGGACCGACCCGTGAATTTCTGTGATACCTGTACATGCGTACGTATGTCCTTTCCTGGGTGCTGCAGTATATTACAAGGATCTTGATATCGTCGACACATGTTTCTGAAGAAAGCAGGCCAACTACATGTACTACTGGTGACGTGCTGAGAATTGGTACGATGATTTCGCTCGGTGGTACAAAAGTACCACTGGTAGATGTTTGCAGTCTGTGTTTGGGTATAGCATGGTCGGTCCGCGTAACGAGTCACACCTCATGCTACCGTCACGCGTAGGTCCAGAGTTGGAAACGTTTTCTCTCGACATGGACAGAGGAACCCTGGCCATAACCTTCAGCGAAGCGATGTCCAATGCTACCGACGATGTAGACTGGACCGGGGTGTCGCTGAGGACGCACGTCAACGGACTCGAAGGCTCAGGCGTAACTCTTTGGAATACCCAAGGAGAGCCGGGCTGGGGCGAGACCGACTCTAAGGATGCGGGGTTGACGCTGGCAGTGAGGATACACCCGACCGATCTCGACGAGATGAAGGCGGCGTATGTGGGCCACAATTCCAGCTTTACTTGGTTGACCTTGAGGGGAGACTCGTTCGTGGCGCTGGACGATCGGGACGGAAATGAGCCCGTGTACGGAACGCAGGTGGTGGGACACCAAGGGGCTTCGGTTTTGGAGTTGGTGGAGGATACCACAAGGTTTGTACGTTTGTACACACACATGTGGTATGTTTTGGATTTCTCATAAGTGCAGCAACGTCGCCCGAACCCTTGTTGCACTACAGCTCCCTTTTATACCTAATACGCGCTATCCAGGCGTACACGATGTTGGTGTTGACCTCGACAGTGAATCCAGCCGCCGAACTTACCCCCGTCGCCCTGCCCCCCCCCCCCAAACGCCATCACCATCCTGTTTTTCTACGCTCCAAAACGTGGGGCCTGGCTCTGTGTGTGTGCGTCGTGCACGATGCGGGCGTCCCGTCGTCCAAAAACGAGAAGACCGACTCTGGATCGATTCACCCTGGGTTGGACGGAACGAAAGCTGGTTCTCTTCTTCTCCGAAGGGGTCGACGCCTTGTCGACTCTACACCCTTCGGCGCTATCCCTGTCCTTGTCCTCCAACAGCACCTGGCTCTCCCCATCAAACGCGTCCTCCTTGCTCTGCTCCTCGGCGGAGCTTGGCCGAAGACAAGGGAGCAGCAATAGCGCCAGCCGACGGGAGATCGTGCTCCACCTGGACGAACCGTGTGCCGTGGAGGCGGCGGTGACGACCTACAATGCGACGAATGGGACTTCTCCCCAAGATGAAGCCAACACCACCACGGCCGAAGCATTCGTCGGCGGGTATCCCAGCGACTGGAGTATGCTCGTCGCGGCCGGGGTGCTGCTCGAGGACGACGATGCCGGAGGAGCGGCGATCAGGAGCGCGACCAACAACAACGTGTCTCTCGTCCTCAACGCCACGTCTAGCTTTGTGACGGATTTGTCCGCAGCGGCTAACCCTTTGGTCGCCGTGGTGGACCTAGAGGAAAGCTTTCCAGGTACGCGTGGCGTGAGGGTTCTCAGTGCTTCGACGCGTTGGCTGTGCAGACAATAGACGTTTTTTTCCCGTCTTTTACGGTGTCTATCTCCGCACGGAATCACCTTTCTTGACATAGGGGCTACCATCCGGAGTCATCCTGAAGAATTCCTACGCCCTCGATCTGATCACTAGAAAAAAAATTGCAGCCCCGTCTCCCTGGTCAACAAGTTAGTCAACGTGTTTCAGAAGCGCTTCTCCCCGCGGTAGACAAATCCTTTGTTGGGTTGTTCTGGGAAGTGATGACATCACCTGATGTCCACACTGGATACTCTCTACTGAGCAGCTTTCAATATCATCGTTTTTCCGTGTAAGTCTCAATTTGTATGACGTTCGACCCACTTGCAGTTTCGTCTAACTATGCGATATGCTCCGTTCGCACGAACTCCCACAGATAGCCATTGCCTACAGTAGCACTGGCTGGATCGACAAAGAAAAACAGAAATTCTAATCCATCAATTCCTTTCTCCAGAGCAACACTGTATTCCCCGCCATAACCCATCGCCAGCTCTCTTTCTCCAATATTATTGCTTTTTCCCTACGTGCTAACCCTTCGCGTCGAATAACCACCACGAACCTCATTCTAAGTAAGAATATACCGCCACGTCACATTTACCAACGACGGTTGTTTTGGTCCGGTGTTCGCGCAGATTGCCAGCCTTGCGGGAACGGCACCTATCGATCAGAGCCTTGTACGGAGGTATACGACGCGGTGTGTGCAACCTGTGCGGAGACCTGCGCGGGAGGGGATCATTTCGTCCTGTCCCCGTGCACAGCCGAAACCGGCCTCGACTGTCACCGTGAGTAACTTCCTTCATCACGCAGCCTGTGACGTTTCTCCTGCGACATTGTCATTGTGCAGGGGGTCATCCAGTAGAGGGAAGGTGTCGTGATGACGCAAATAATTCACTTCCAATGGATTCCAGGCGAAGGTGCACTGGGTCGTGAGCAGCCAAGAAGGAAAAAAAACACAAACCTCATCTACATCTATATCCTTTTCGACCCCGAAGTATTTTGCATCTCTCCTCTTTCCCTATCGACACTCCCTTTCGACGTAAAATTCGCCTTTCTTTCAGCAATTCTACCGGGCTTTCTACGACCCGACACCCGCCCTCCTCATGATCCACGACATGCCACAATGCAAGGTTGCACACCGTGCGCTTTCGGGACGCGTGAGATAGGCGAGTGCCAGCAGGCGTCGGACCGAGTTTGCGAGGCTTGCACGGAGTGCGAGGATGCGGAGTACGAGAGCCGAGAATGTCGGACTTCTGGCGAGGACAGAATATGCGAAACCTGCCTCAGGTCTGCGCACTTTCATGGCCGAATTTGAAGTACAACGAAGTGCAAGTCGTTTGTCCACCACACGTAACACCCTTTTGAGGTTGTGTTTTTTCTCTTTTGGGATGGTTTCGTGATGCCAAGCCGGACACTTCCGAGCCCACGAGCAAGAAAAACGACCACCACGATCCATGCTTAGAGTCCGACCAGAACAACCATGCCATGCTCTCGTCGTGCCGGTCCCAGAGTGAGCACAGAGAAACGGGCCCGCAAGTAAGAAACGACAAAATAGCGTCGAGGTTCAGTTTAATATTTCATCACCACTGTGGAGCACAAGTTGTTATGTTGAGCGTGGTGTACACAGGATGCACCGCTGCTGCGGGATTTTTCTTAGCCCTATATTTTGTTTTTTTTCGTGAAAAATTGGGCCTCTGTTCTTAGCTGCGGGCCCGTACATACTGTACTGCTCTCGCGAGGCGACTGCCGCAAAGGTTCACTCGAAGACTGATGATGTTGATGATGTTGAAGACTCACTGAACTCACTTGCAGGTGCTCCTTGTCTCCCGAGGTTGCCGAAGCGTGTCGAGACTCCCGGTCGGTTCGGCAGTGGCAGACGGAGAACTGCTGCGAAACGGCGGTGGGGGAGAAGATCCCCTGCCCGGACGTGGCGCTCGAGAACCTACGGGTTTCCGCGGCGACCGGGCGGTGGCAATGGGGCCGCGGCCAGCCCGCCGGCGGTGGGGACCGCGCCCGGGACGGCGTGACGCCTCGCGACCGGCTGATCGAGGTCGAGTTTAGAGCCGGTGCCAAGACAGTCTTTGACGACCCTCGCTACGTCGGGCAGGAGGGGCCCACGGGAGCTGGCAGCACCGGCGAGTTGTGACTCTGGCTCGGGGGGGGGGGGGGGGGGGGGGGGGGGGCGGTTTTG